GTATTTTTCCGTTAGGTAAAGGTTAATTTTTTTTTTTTTTTTTTTTGTCACGGTCCAAAAATTTTCCAAGATGGCGGCGTAGTTGGCATCCGTCGGCAAGTGCTCTTCAAGAGCTTTGCTTGTTTGTTGTTTTTTTTTCTTTCGTTTTGTCACATGATTCAGAGATTCCTCACCGGTGAGGAGATAAAACGGCAAAAGTGGGTTTGCTGACCTGTGCCATGACCTCCAGGGACCAGCTGTCCCCCATGCTGATGGGCTGGGTGGGGTTGGTCGGGATCTTACTGTCCTTTTCGGCGGGCCTCAACAGAGTCGGGCCAAACACAGTGGCCAGGTTGTGGAGGGACATCTTGTTGACGCTTTCTTTCTCTGCCACCCTGAGACAGAAGAGGAAACACGCAAAGTCACACTGATAATGTGATAGGGCGGCAATGCATTGTGCGGTCGACTTCGACGAGTGATGGCCTGGCACCCTCCACTCCAGACGTTTTCTGCAAATTGTACCGACGCCCACATGACGCTCAGGCCTTTTTATTCATCTCAATCTCCATGGTAACCAGAAGATAATTTGTAGATGTCATCCGCTAACCACTCCACAGCAGGTATGTATGGGCTTCTTTGAACTTTGATTGTTTGTGCACCAAATCCAACCACTGAGGTGAGAATTATAGCGTACTCAAAACATCGGAATGACAAAGTGACTGGAAAGGAAGGAAATTGGAGGCGGAATTGACGCCGCCCCGCAGTATGTGAAGTGAATTTGGAATACAGGAAGAGGAATTGAATTGAGTGAGAATGAGTGTGCGCTAATCAAATGTCGAAATTGTTTGGACGGCCATTTTAAAGATTTGAATAAAGCAAGGTATTATGGAAAATGAAGTGCTGCTCTCAAATCCATTTCAAAGTGCTTACAATTTTATCGATTTGTTTTATCTGAGTTGGATTTGAATGTTAATTTAAAAAAATAAAAATAAAAAAAACAATGACTACACTTTCAAATTTCCTGTAATTAAGTACTGTGTGCATCAAATCCATTTACGCTTCTTTTCTGAATTGTGTCCAGCCCAACTACGTGCTAGCATGAAGGACGAAATGAAACCATCGGTGTCTTTTTCGAACGACATTGAATTCGTACCTCTTCAGGTGATCCAAAAGGAAAAGGAAGGTGACCAAGTTCGGCTCCGGTAGCGACAGCAGTAGGTTCAACATGCAGCTCTCCTTGGCAACGCTATCAGACAGAGCTGCAAAAGACAAGACAATCACAAATCAACCATATTTTTTTTCCCCCCTCTCGTAATTATCCATTTCAAAGTGACGAAATGTCAACGCACTGATGCCGCCGGCAAAATTGGGGTAGAGCTCATCGGTGAAGAGCGGCTCCGGCAGCTCTCGGAAGTACAACTTCAAGGTGCCGGCGATCGCGTTGACGTCCATCTCGCTCATCATCACAGAGACGTCTTTGTGATCTACCAATCACACAAAGACATCCGGGTCGATTGATTGATTTAACTCTTTATGTTGAGATTAAATTTAACACGGTAAAAATCAACAAAAACAAAACAACAATCAATCATACAGTTTTGGCCCGAATATAAGACGGTGTTTTTTGCATTGAAATAAGACTGAAAAAGTGGGGGTCGTCTTATATTCGGGGTCTAGACATTATACTCATTCACGACGCTAGATGGCGCCACATATCATTGAAGCATATGCTGAACTTGACTCCCCAGGCCAAAGTGAACCCCTGCCACGAAGAATAAAAATAAAAATAGCGGTAGCAGGGAGAAGAAAAATAAAAAATAGCAGTAAGAATGAAAAGAGAAGAAAATAATAGAAGAGATTCATTTACGAATGTGAGTGCACTTTAGATTTGAATGAGGCAAAATAACATGCTTTTTCTCTCGAATACATTGTTATAATCATTTGTTTCAGATGCACTGTAATTATTTTCCGTATAAAAATTAATTTGGTGTTCAAAAGGTCTTTTTTTCAAACTCGAGTCTTGAAAAAGAAGGGGTCGTCTTATAATCAGGGCCGTCTTATATTCGGGCTAATACGGTAAATGACAGTAGATGAGAAAACAATGAACAACAAAAATAGAATGCCAGTGACACTCAGATCCATTTGTGTCAACCTGAACGAGGTCAACTGTACTCACTGGTGTCAAAAGCTGTCTTGAGGGCCTGAATATCGGTGGCCACTCCTGACACTCGATAGATGCCCACCTCCTCCATTCCCCTCCTCTCGATTTCCTCCAGGCACTGCCGGACTATGTAGGGCACCTTGGAACGCTCTCGTCTGGATAGAAATAGGCAAACAATAAGAAGAACCCAGCGTTGGGTCGAAAATCAGTGATTTCGACCCAGAGCATTGGGTCGAGGATTTGACCCAGCATCTCGGGTCAAGTTTTTGATCCAATAATGGATTAAAAAAAATATGCATGCTACCAAGAAACCAATCTTCAACCCAATCTGTTGGGTCAAAATAATTGTACTGTACGTGTCATCTCAGATGGCTCGTTTTGGTTCAAATGAAGAAATCGGAATTGGCCACTTGGACCTTGCAAAGGAACTCAAGCCCAGGATTGAGATTTTGTATGCTCAGATGATCTTCAACCTGCATGCAAGCAAACTCACTTGGTCACAGTGGAGATCTTGACTCCGAACACACCCATGGGTTTCCGCGAGGGCATTCTCTTCAGGCTGAACTCGCGGCTGGTGAACTTCATGGACAGTTTGACCTCAATCTGTCACAGACAATCAGGACTCGCGTTATAAATCGCCAAAAAACAAGTGAGGCAAGCATGCGGAATGTAACAAAGGTGGGAGAAAAATAGCAGTTTGATTGACGCACCCCGTTCATTGGAATGACAGTCCTTTGCCAGTCTTTTCCTTGGAGAGCCTGTGGGTCCAGCTGAGGTGTAGGAACAAATATAAAATCAAGTGTGAGCATTTAAATTAAAAAAAAAAAAAAAAAAAGTTTCCAATGTGCAGTACCCGTCATCGATTTTTTTTTAACCTCCGAGTTTGATTCTTTTAATCCAAAACGAAAAGAAAAGCCATTTTGTGGCCATCGTTTTCACCAATAAAAACTAAAATACTCTCATTTTTCAATTCCATTCTCACTGCTCATGCCTTTTTATTTTCTGCGTTCACGAGTTCATATTTTCAAGGGCGCGTCACATCATGTCTTACCGTACTGTAGTTCCCCTTTCTGCCGCAACCCCGCCGAGCAACACCGCCCCATACGCGCACCTCATCGTGCTCTCTCTCTTTCTCTCTGATCAGCGGTTCGATTTGAAAGTAAAAGATTCCATTTGGTTCGAATCAGTCGGATCATGATTCATTTTGATGCAGTTCAGCTCAGTTGAAGAGGGTATGATGTCATGATTTTTTTTTTTTTGGTTGTCATGTTACATACATTTGAATGAACTTGTGAGTACTGTATATGTGGCATTTCCATTTAGGATATATTGCTACAACAAAGACGAGTCAATACGTACGTCGATATATGTACAAATGGAACGATTTGATGCACTTACACCTCCTTAATTAAAAAAAAAAACAAAACAAAAACGGATTTTCTCATGAAAGTCGTTTTTGTTACACCCTGAAAAATATTCCAGTGACAGATTTGTTGCTCCTGATTGGATAGTGCATTTTTCTAGGCTCCCAATCTTAAAAATGTATTAATTAAAAAGAGACATCTAAACAAATTAAAATAGCATATTTGTGCATTTATGGAGTGAATAGAATCTTTTCAAGAGGAGCGAATATCACAAATATTAGGAATGACTTGTGTCAGCTGTATTTTCTTTTGTTCAACCTCAAAGGTGTTCTTTCACCGTCTCAGAGAAGTGAATGAGTTTTTTTTGTTTTCTGCAACAGTGACACATTTAACCGATACATCTGTAAAGTAGCTTTTTTTTTCTCAAGGACATCCACGCGGTTGCTGTGGTTTGTGCAGCATTTTCCCTGATGTTGGGATTTGCACAGATCACTGCGTTTGCAATGACATCATCTGTGCAGTGATTGTGTGACAGGAGAGACCAGTAGATGGCGCTGTCATTCACACTCGCACCATAGCAGAGACTGCATTTGCAAACCGCTAGATCCAATTCGATTTTCTTTTCTTTGTTAGGCAGATATGTTTCAGGTATTTGTGCGTTTTGAAGAGTGGGCTCAGTTTGGGATATGTCAAGGATTAGGAATTTAATTCATTACACTTCTCTCTCTCTCTCCCCGACTCTCCTTTGTTCAAATATTTGCTATTATTCTACAAGCTTTTGTCATCGTACTATTATTGGTGTCATTTCCTTCTGTAAGGATGCTTTACAATAATGCGAGAGAGAGAGAGAGAGAGAGAGAGAGAGAGAGAGAGAGAGAGAGAGAGAGAGAGAGAGAGGGGTGAGAGAGATCTATAGAGAGATGAGACAGCTCAATGTAGAAGCTCCGCAAAATGAAACCCAAGCCTCTTGTCAATTCTTGTATTCGAAAATACTTCAGATTTTCCTGCCTCATTGTAACCCCAAAGAAACACGCTTTTGAATTATGATCTGGGAGAGCGATTTCTCTCAGTCCATCCGCCCCCGAGTGTCCTCTCATTACATAATGATGGCAAAGTGATCCAATCAGACAATTCACGCTTGGTTTAAGTCATTTACAGGACAATAACGTGGATTTCGTGCTCCGTGGCAGCAGCGCTGCAGATAAGGCTCCGTATGAGTCACGCCGGCCCCTGCGGAACAGAAGGTGACGTCATGTCATACCGGGATCTGTCCTTTCCCCATGATGCGGTCCACGCTCTCGCCGTCCTCTTTGTTCTGCTTGCTCTTATTGTAGCACTTCTCATAGCAGAGCAGCCGCAGGGTCTGCGAGCCCTCCAGCTCGATCTCAAACTCCTGCCGAGGAAAAGAACACGCATCTGTGAGGAGACGGCGCTGACTAGAAACAGTACGCTAACTGGACGGCTAAACAGGTAGACGGACACAATAGATAGATAGAAAGACAGAAAAGACAGACAGACAGGAAAGGCAGCTTGATTTATTTCTTACACGAACAATAGAAAGCAAGATTGAAAGGCAAACGCATTTCAGACATTTAAAAGAAAAGTAAAGAGACAAAATGTAGTTTCCTAACAGAAGGTAGAGCACAAGTATATCATTTTGGAAAAACTGATTTTGAAGACCTTAATCATACGGGGTTCTGGAGGGTAAAAAAATAAACTTAAAAGCATATCGGTACATTTGGGGCTCATTACACTTTTGTTGGCAGCTTATTCTATTTGCCTGTAGCATAACAGCTAAATGCTGATGCACCATGTTTTCTTTAAAATCTGGGCTCCACTAATTGACCCAAATCTGCTGATGCCAGACCCTACTGCTTTTATATTCCATTAACATTTCTTTCATGTAGTCATGACAAAGCCATTCGGTGATTTATAAACCAGTCGTTCATTTTTACATTTTTATATGAAGCAGACTGGGCGCCACTGTAAAGTCTTTTGGAATGGAGTCATGTTCTGATGTCTTTGAACCTTTTGATTGAGCATTTTGATTTCTTAGAACCCGACCGAGCTGCAGCATTCTGAATGAGCTGCAGCGGTTTGATGCTCTTCTGCGGGAGTCGAGCCAGAAGATAGACCGCTTGATAGCGAGATGGATAGACCTGACCCCACTCTGCCTGACGGTCGATGACATCAAATATGATGTCATCAATGATGGTTTTTGTTCATAATTCAATATCTAATTGTGCAGACAATTTTCAGCAGCACGGTAATATTCGTGGTTTCAACAGACGCATTTGTACATCTTCCTTCGTGACACTGAAAATCAGCAAGATGCCAACCAACATTCCCTTGTAATTAATTGGAGGGAGGGCCCTGCATATGGCTGGCGCATGGCGTCGGTTCACTTCACATTAGGACAGATGCGAGTCATCACCAGCAGCTCCTCATTAGCTGCCATTACTTCCGCACTGCTGAACAAACTCCTCCGAGACTTTGGGGCCCCATGGTGGCAAAACATTTCACATTTCTGCTTCTAGATGTACTCTGGCGACCAGTTTTGGGTTGTGAACGGGATAAGCCCGATCGGAAAAAAAGGATGTGTCCCATTACTTTTGCCCACTGTGGAATTGTCCCAAATATATTGTTAGTATAAATAATAAGATGGCAGCGTGCCAGTCCCTCACCTCATTCCATTTGGGTTCAGTGGTGTATCGATACACTCTCGTCTTGGCTTTATTCGAAAAGAAGCCGAAAGAATCCACCTCCAATGTGCAATAGAGATCTGGAAGAAAGACATCCAACGAGCACATTACTTTGTATGGAGTGGTGAAATGTGTCTCAAGACCAAAACAGTTAGTCTTTAATAATAGTGGTACCAGACTAACAGCTAAAGGCGGCATTTATCTTGAACCTGAGCCCCCGGTCGAGTGAATTAATGAGAATTTCACATTTATTTGGTCGAATCTGTTGGGTTTGGCCTGTGTGACTCACTCAAGCTCTGTTTGAGGCCACAGGCGGAGTGGACGATTACATTCAGGAACCCGCAGAGACCCGGGGCTTCTTCCTCTGGAAAAACAGTCAGAGAAAGGGGGGGGGGGGTCAAAGATGCAATAAACAGAGAAGAAAGATTAGAAAAACATGCCGATCTGTGTTTGTGCTGATCCTAAGTCAGACATGGAAGAGGATGGGGGACAATTATTAGACTGAAGCAATTCATTTCCAGGGTACATTTGTCTTTTTTTTTAACCCTTTGAGGGACAGCGGTTACTACAGTGGACAGATTATCATGTTATCAGGTTACAGGGTGAATAAAAGGAATAATACGCTTTGAAAATAGGAATTCCGAGTTATGACATCTTATTTGAATAAGCCACTTTTAGTTGGATAAAGAGCAACAAGTCCCCTCACCTTCTTTATTGATACTAAGTGGGATGTGATGGACCGTTTGGAGCTTGACACAGGAGTTGGTCAACATTTGGAGCTCCATGGACGTTAAGGAGACGGCTTTAAAACCTTGCGAATAAATGGTGAGAATCATTTAAGGAGGACAACGTGTGAAGATCAGGCTTGATGTCGCGGGTTGATGAAAAACATACATTTCTTCTGCTGCTCTTTGATGAGCTCTTTCCATTCGGCGCGCTCATAATCGGATGAAATGAGGAAGCTGTAGCTCTGAAATGCCACAAAAATCGTTTGTCAGGACAGGCAGCTCTTGCAAAAGCTGCTTCAGCACGCAAGTTGCAACAAACGGTTACTACAGTGGACAGATTATCATGTTATCAGGTTACAGGGTGAATAAAAGGAATAATACGCTTTGAAAATAGGAATTCCGAGTTATGACATCTTATTTGAATAAGCCACTTTTAGTTGGATAAAGAGCAACAAGTCCCCTCACCTTCTTTATTGATACTAAGTGGGATGTGATGGACCGTTTGGAGCTTGACACAGGAGTTGGTCAACATTTGGAGCTCCATGGACGTTAAGGAGACGGCTTTAAAACCTTGCGAATAAATGGTGAGAATCATTTAAGGAGGACAACGTGTGAAGATCAGGCTTGATGTCGCGGGTTGATGAAAAACATACATTTCTTCTGCTGCTCTTTGATGAGCTCTTTCCATTCGGCGCGCTCATAATCGGATGAAATGAGGAAGCTGTAGCTCTGAAATGCCACAAAAATCGTTTGTCAGGACAGGCAGCTCTTGCAAAAGCTGCTTCAGCACGCAAGTTGCAACAAAATTAGTCAAGTGTGAAGTATATAGGTGAGTTAGAGCCACACTGAAAATAACAGAATTGATAATAATTGAATAAAAAAAAAGGTTCTTTGGCCAAGGAGATTAAGCAATAAATACTATGAACAGGAGGGGTTTGAAAATAGAGCCCTGAGGAACACCAATAATAAGAGGCAAATGGCAAAAATAAAGAGAACATAGACGGAAGCACGATGGAGAATATCTTCACCTTGCCACTCTTGTTGTAGACTCTGAGGTGCATGCTCGGAGATGTTAAGAGCAGCAGCGATTCCTGCTCGGACAGCTTCTTCCTGAGGCGGTCTATGACCTTTGAACCTTTGTTGGCTCTCTGAAATAAAGTGAAAACATATTTCAGCATGAAAGGTCGAGGTAAAAATCCTCCTCTTTTTTTTTCTTCCATCCTTCTGGTATACCTTTTCTCTTTGGATCTCACTGCGCAGTTGTGAGATCTTCACCTTCATGGCATCCAGCTCTTCGTCTGGGACCTGTGGGATAGTGAGGGGTTCGGTCTCGTCCGGGCCCTGGAAGGTGAGCTCGCTTAACGGGATGTACCACTTGCTGTCATATTGTTGGTTTTTACTGCAGGATCAAAGAGGGGGAACATTTTGGGTTAAGTGACACCATTTGAAACGTCACAGGAACTCTGACTCATCGACTTGACGACTTTCAGTCCGTACAAGCTTATTGGTGGACATTTTGCACTGAAGCTTTTCAGCTAATCAGAGAAGACCCAATTTTCTGTAGGCGATATCACATAAAAACGTCCCCCCAAAAAAGCCACGTGTTCCCAAACACACAACCCTCACTTTCGAAATTCTTGCTGCGTTGTATTCAGGTTGAAATGGCGATTCCAAACAGCCTCAAACAACATTTTGACAAGACTGTCCTTTTTGGGTTATCTTGTCACATTATTACATTGTGTTTTCAAGCTGTTCTGTCTACTTGGATGAATAATTTCTTTACAAAATCTGTGGGTTTTTTTTCTTACCCTGCAATTTGTTTTTTCAGTTTGGCGCACAGCAGCAAGTCGGTGAAGAGGAAGACGTGTCGCAGTTTCCTGGCTCCCTCCACCAGCTCGACCATGAAGCTGTCCTTCAGTAGCTGGCGATTCTGTGGATTTGAAACAAACAACAACAAAAAAACACGCTAACAGATAAATACTGTTGAACGGATTATTATCTGTGCTTCGCACAGGAATCAAAAAGCAAAAATTGATTTTCACAACTCCTTTGTTTATAAGTGCACTAGAAACAAAGAAACAGAAAACAACAAAAAAGACCGGATTCCTCCCTATTATGTACAAAAGCTTAAACTAATGAATACAGTAATTTATATGAACTACTTCCTTCATGAATTTTTGATGAATTGCGAGAGGGAAGAATGAAACAACGTATGGAGAAGAAAAAAAAATTCTTCTGGCCATTTCGCTGATGTCAGACTATGTAATGAGGCTGCAATACCAAACCCCATCAAAAGAGGGCGGTAATGTCAAGATAAACGTTTCACAACGGTGACATTTTCAGAACGTAAATCGACATTAGAGCGTTTATAATATAGTATGAATGCTTTCATAGTGCTATCAAGCGGCTAGACGGGAAGAATGAAAAGAAAAATAGATCAAGAATAAATATGACGCAAGGTTTTTTTTTTTTTTAATTACACTTTGTTTTTCTCAGAATGATTCTAAATAGGTTGATTTTTTTACTCCTCTTTTTAAATCCAGGTGCTAACAAATTACATTCCTTTCTTTGTTTCCTGCCTGTCTCAAAGGATGACATCACACATGTTCAGGAGTGGTTACATCATCATCTTCATCTACGCGTCCTCCCACCATCCTCTCTTCAACCCCCCCACGATGCTACCCCCCACCCGGTCCTTCAAGAACACATACTGTCAACGCCAGAACATTCTAAAGTTCATTCAGTGTGTCCGTTTTTGTTGATGAAAGCAAACAGCTGACAAAAGAGCTCCACCGCAGTGTTACCGCCTGAGGAGATGTGGATAATAGAGGTAGGCTTAGACAAAGAGAATGAGCATCCTCATCTTCGGATACAGTGGTCATCCTCTACCGCCCATCGCTGTTGATGCTTTGACAGCAATAATTGTTCAAAGTAAAAACATCAGAAGGAAAATCTGATGAAGATCTCTGCTCTGAGGGACGATGTCATCGTCGATGTATTGGGCGGTTTTGATCCTACCGGTCATTTCTTTCCCAGCCAGACATGCCGTGCCTTGGTGTTTCTTCTGTCTGTGCTTCTGTTAACTTTATATTTAGCCAACGGTATTCACGTAGGGTAAGACATTCCTGTATTACGAAATGCAGCACATGATGGAATGACACTGGCGGCTCACCTTGGATGGTCATCAGAAGCATTCTAAAGTTTCTTGTGCATATTTATGGAGTGCAGCTGATCGATGAGCCACCAAATGGCCCGCGTCGCTAGCACGTACAGGAAGTCCACTTTGACAGATGTGGATAATAGAGGTAGGCTTAGACAAAGAGAATGAGCATCCTCATCTTCGGATACAGTGGTCATCCTCTACCGCCCATCGCTGTTCCTGCTTTGACAGCAATAATTGTTCAAAGTAGAAAGATCAGAAGGAAAATCTGATGAAGAGCTCTGCTCTGAGGGACGATGTCATTGTCGATGTATTGGGCGGTTTTGATCCTACCGTTCATTTCTTTCCTAGCCAGACATGCTTTGCCTTGGTGTTTCTTCTGTCTGTGCTTCTGTTAACTTTATATTTAGCCAACGGTATTCACGTAGGGTAAGACATTCCTGTATTACGAAATGCAGCACATGATGGAATGACAGTGGCGGCTCACCTTGGATGGTCATCAGAAGCATTCTAAAGTTTTTTGTGCATATTTATTGAGTGCAGCTGATCGATGAGCCACCAAATGGCCCGCGTCGCTAGCACGTACAGGAAGTCCACTTTGACGACGCTTTTCTTTTTTTGCGCTAACATTTCGCCGATCACATGGAGACCGTCGAAAGTCACATCGATCTCGTGGAAGCGTTGAACTCGGCTACCTCTAACATTTGTGTCATTCAAGACGGATACGGTTCTTTGCTTTGCCACAAAGACGTACTTACTCCCTGAATATTTGAGAAAATGACTATGTGGCAGATGGAGCCAAATCCTCTGATCCACTAACAAGGCTCCGGCAACAGACTTGATCTTTCTATTTATCTCAAAGTGCTGCGTGTGACAATTACTTTGAAGAGAAAATAAAACACAACAAAGCTCCCTCCAGCTGGACTTCTGTCACTCTAAACGTCGCACTGTATTTAGAGGTATTGAGTACATCACAGTGTTTGAGTACGACACAAAATCTCATCAAGTCAATCAAAAACAGGTCTTTTTTTTTTCTCCGAAGGTGAGATGTCACGTTGCCAATACGTAACAATTGATAAAATTAATAAGACCACATCTACGGTACTTGTAACGATATTATTCATTAACTCAAGATAGGCTTTGCATTTCTCTGTATGCAGAGAAACAATTTCATTGACTTCTTTTTTCCATCCATTAAAAGCACTTTAGACAAGGAAATTAATTAGAAAATATAATGAATATGACATACTGAGCGTTTTGCATTCATTATTTATTTGACTATCGCACATAAAAAAATGGCATGGTGATTAATATTCAGAAAGCAATGAAATATGATCTGTTGAGCCTTATTATCAAACCTCAGTGTAAATCTCTCTCATTCTGATGTCAGAATGACCAGAAAAAATAAAAAATAAAAAGAATTTACAGTCTTCTACTTGTGTGAATGGCAACGTGGGACTTAATTACATCGATCACTGATAAATCTTGTTGCGGCCGGAGATTCATCTGATAGCAAGCGACTGGACAAAAAGCAAATGGAAAATTTATTGCGACAAAGAAAATAAGTGAGGGTCAGCAATAACTCTTGAGGACCTGGCTCCGGATCAAAAATGTAGAAATTGGCATTGGTTGGTACTGAGATGCCTTTCAGCTTCCTGAAGACTTGATCCTAAGTCAAAATAATGCAGCTTTCATTCATTCACTGGGTGTCTGACTCACTCACGTCTTAGAGATATTTTTAGCGTTTTAAGACTCATGTTTTGCATTCCTGGTCCTGAGCCTGAGCTGTGATGAATGCAAAAGTCTTGGTCTGCTACTGTAGAAGACAAACTTAGCCAACAAGAGGAACGTGGACAGCGTGTACTGAGAAAGCACGGCTGCACAGAGCGCATATTAAATATTGACGTCTCCTGGAGCGGCCTCGCTGAGAGCGTGTATGCGAGTAATCGCATGAATTTACAAAATCCACATGTATTTTTAGAACCCAACGCACGCTTAAAGGGGCATCTCTGCGCCCAAGTGTTTTACACAAGCTGGAATGGGAGTATATGCGCATGTGTTCATGACATAATAGAGCCAAGGCTGTGGATCATTTGGACTTTACATACGCAGAAGACACTCACGGTCACCCAATTAGGTACACTTTAATGTGATAACACACTGACGATACTGGTCGACAACATTTCCACATATTTAAATTCTATACAGTGCTAAAGAATTACATTTTTGGTGACAATCAAATATATGCGAGTGAATTATAATCCATGCTAATTTCCGTTTTAACCCGTTAGTATGTAATTGAGGACCCCTGAGAAAAAAAACAAACCAAAAAAAAAAAAAAAAAAAAATATATATATATACACACACACACACACACACACACACACACACACACACACACAGGTAGCAAACTATTGTTGTGTCCTCTCATTTTTCCTTCTCAAGTATTATGCTTGTGTTATTGTAAGGCGTCCTCACTATTAGCTTCAAAATGTCCAATAATTAGATACAACCTGTCGTAACCTTGGGCATATCAAATACTGTACTCAAGATGGAGTGAGTAGCAATATAATGAGCGCCATTGATTTCCATGTGCAGCTTTCATGGATCTATCATAAATATTTGATGCCTGGTGTGGTTAGGGTGGATAGACTGGGATGGAAGTGAGTCCAATAGGAATACATAAGGGGGCGGGGCAGCTAGCAAGAGTGTGTGTATGTGAATAAAGTGTGTCTTTGTCGAGAGTGTAGTAATGACCCGTGTGTGAGCGCAGGGAGGAGTCAGCTCAGGCTTTTTTTTTTCTTTCTTTCTTTCGCCCAGTGGCTCACACCTTCCATTTATGAAAAATTAACTTGTGATCGGCCCGGCTTGGTGGCTCATTAATAACATTATGTACGGCCGTGTCATGAAAGCTTTCAATCAAAGAGGCCTCCAATCATGTGCATCAAGTCATGGGATGACAGACAGCGGGTTGAGGGGAGCTGTGTGTGTGTGTGTGTGTGTGTGTGTGTGTGTGTGTGTGTGTGTGTGTGTTGGGGAGGAGTATGAGCGCTTGGGAAACCACAATGGGCAAGTGGAGGATGATCCCCCTCTTCTTCCAGCAGCCAACCACAATGTGACCATATATGGTCATACGCTCCGCTTGAGGCTGCAGATTGGTGACAAGCGAGAAGCTAGTCTCGTTTTAACGGTGACAGAGGGAAAAAAAACGTTGATTTTGGGGGTTCGCATTATTCATGGGGGTGATTTTACGGTACCGATACTTGGAAGACAAAGAAAATCAAAATTCGGGACGTCGCCATGTTGGGCGGGTCGAAATACAGTACATGAAGGTAAACAAGGGTGAGAACACTTTTAGCCGACTGCAAACTATGCTCTGCTGAGGCAGCAACAGTGGTGGCCACCCAACAATTCATTTTTTTGTTTGTTTTCATTTCACCTATGGGAAGCTCTCCTGTCACTCAAATGTTGGCTCGCAACACAAAGCAAGAAACGGACCAAGTGACAGTTTGTAACACCAAACTGTTAAAAGCTGAGTCGTCAAGGAAAATAGTTTTACCTGACCCGAACTTATTTTAAACAGGAGGTTGGAATTAAAAAAATTTAAAAAAAATGCAGATTACAATTTTAGCGCAATTTTGCAAGAGGTTGATACTCGTGATTCACTTTAGTGGGCCGGATAAAATGATGTGGCGGGTAAATCTGGAGTTTGACACCAGTGGTAGAAGCGGATAGCGACAAAATATGACCAGAGAGTGAATTCTAACACCCGAGACCGACTGCCCACAAATCTTCGAAGTGAAAGCATTTGTTGCCGGTTCCTCGAATCTAATTGGATCTGAATGTGAAAAGCTGCAACAGATTGAACGCGGAAACGTAGCGGTAGAGGCTAATGCGTGAGCTTTGAAACGTCTCACCTCGCCCTTCTTGACAGTCATCAGCTGGCGGCGGGGCGTGGACTCCTCGTTGATGCTCGATAGGAAATTCTGGGAGATGCGCAGAGCGTCCTGGAGAAGCGGGTGGTCTGGGTGGCTTGTGGGAGTGTGCTTGAGCAAGTCCTGAATGCAGAAAAGTTTGAAACATTTAAAACAGGGCTCCAGACTGCCCCTAAATTGATGTATTTTGCTCCTAAAATTTGAGACGGTTTAAGGAAATTTTTCAACAACCTGCGCCCGTCCGGCCAGTAAATTTGAAGATCTTTATTTATTTATTTACTGTTCTCCAAGTTAAAAAAAAAAAGTTAGTCTCATGCATTGTAAAAGCAACCCCTTTGTTGACATGATCAATAGCTCAATCAAATTATGAGTGATCACCAACATTAAAAAAAAAAAACATAAATAGAAACATTTTTTATCAGCATTGCTAGAACTATTGATTTTTTTTTTCTCAAAACAAGTGGTCATTAAATTGTATTTATTTTGCAGACATTGTTACATCATCCGTGCGGGCAGATGCAGTTTTGCTTACATGAAGCACCAGCGTGCTGCGGGTCACCCTGTCCACTGGTTTGTAAAGCAAAGCTGTCGAGAAGACGAGAAAAAAGGCAAACGTTGAACCATTTGAATCCATATTTTAATTCAATAAAATGAGTAGAACACAACAAATCAGCATTACTGACCCTCGAGGGAGTTCTTGGCTGTCGGCTCCTTGCAGTCTTTGGGGCTTCTCACTTTTAAATTCTGTTTGGAGATGAGGAAGAGAAGCCGTTGAGCACAGTGAAGTGACATGAACGCATGGGTTGCTCAAGGAAGCTCCGAGGTCATCCACTCCCACATGAACAATGCCACCCCCAGCGCCGCCATCTTGCTCCGGGAGGCTCAGAATCATGCGTCATAATTATGTCCATGAACAACAAATTTCTCATTTGACATAATATGTCGCCATGCTTTTTCTCTGCGTGCATATTCTTCATGGCAGTTTAGGCCCCAGTTTTGACTTAATTACCTCAGAGATTTCGGAAAATTGCGTGTTGGCTTGGCAGCACTTTTCGGCCGTCTCCACCGCCAGCTCGTAGTTGTCCACAAACGCCCTGTAAACTCCTAACTGGCTGGCCTGAAACAGAGGAGAGCAGACGTTAAGCATGTCTTTTTTTTTTTGTTTGTTTTTTGCGACAACACAAAATGATTGGGCACTGGAATACAGCCTCAAATAAATCATCATCACGTTTTCATGATATGAAAGTGAGACCGCAGCGGTAAGTGGTGCATTGAGATATTAATTCATCTCAAATTGTCTTTCTCCATTGAAATGCATCGGAAGGCAATTAATCCGTGACAGACGCCACAAAAAAAAAAAAAAAAAAAAAAAAAAAATCAACATTAATTTGTCTTGACGTTTTTTTTTTCTGATCAGAAAAATTACACTGAACAATATTAACTTGTTGTTCTTCTGGGTGGGGGGGTTCATTGGTGGTTGTCAAATCAGCTTAGTGTTGTGCTGATGTAAATTCATTGATACAGTGAGACTACAAAAACAAATCATTTACATGGTTGGGGACCTCAGGTCTATAAAATATATGGTTGAACACTGACAGTCATGCAGTCCTAATTCCAATTTTTTTATGGACGTATGATGATGATGATGACGACGGCACAAGAACAGCATGAAACCGCGGCACCACTCCATTGCCATAGCGACTGAAAAAAGTGTGCGACTGAAGCAATGAAAGCACGTTTGGGGAGCAGAAATTCATCTCCAAAGCCAACAAAAGGACAATCAATTGTGCGGAACAAAAGGCAAAGTGAGACATGAGAGCAGCGCAGACCAGCTTTGTACGGAAACCTCCACGAGGGTATCGACCTACATCATTTAACTAATTGCACAGTTGTCATGGACTGGAAATGAGCTGGGATGTTTCTGATTTATTTCCTTTGCCGGACCGCTGCGCCCGCCAAAGTATTTGCGATTAAAAACCTGACAGTGCATAAAATGGGAGCAATCTGGGAAAATGGCACGATGCAAAAGAGACAACGCTTTAGCCAAAATAATCTGCAGTAAGTGCACACTCATTAGGGACCTCACTCATCATTCTGCTCCTTTTTCTGGACTGTTGAAATTAGTTTTGGCTCTGTGATTCTGGCACTAACCTGCACTACGTACTTGTATGTGACTATCACTGGTCAGCATGTTCCAAAAGTGGCAAAGCATCTTGAAATCTTCACTTTTGGTATTTAGCGTAATGACTTTGACAGGCAACGATCTTGATGATGTCTTTAAAATGTCATTCTCTTACTTTATTTAGGCTTGACCCCAAACTTGACCGGCCTCTCCCGTCACGACGGGGCGTGACAATTGATTTTGACGGGAATGTGTGGTCACAAGTTTTCCACACAATGTTTGCACTCATTCTGTTAGCGTGGGTAGATAGATCAATCATTTTGTAACAGAGGCCAAAGGTTCTGGGATACATGTCATATGCCTTTTAAAAAAATTTCTTGAAATCGAAATACAGTTTACTGCCTATTTAGTATATTTTATTATCCCTTTCATTCACCTTGTAACCTGATAACATGAGAAGCTGTCCACTTTAGCAACCGCTCTCCCTGAAAGGGTTAAGCATACAAGCTAAACTGGTTAAACAACATGCGGTAGGGGGCAAATACTAGCCGAACATAACTTGAGCCTCTTGCTCATACAAAGGGAACACTTTTCGCATATAAATTCTAAATTCCTCAAACATGTGACCAACAGGGGTACGGCATGTCAAACAAATACACAAATTGGACTATACAGTACTATCAGTTCAATCAACTGTCGTCGTCGAGGAACTAATCATTTCACACCCAGCTGAATTTGTAAGTTTGCTCATAGACAAGAGCTAGCAGTCGCTTCATTGATGATTATAATCGACAGATTATGATCAAAAAAATGCATAAAAAGACGTATAAAAGTGAGAAGATTTTAAAAGCAAGCAAAACAAGTGACGATTCGGTGGATGGGTCCTCCAGCATGACACTGACAAAAAACAGAGTGGCTCCAGAATCAGCATATGGCTTTTGATGACGTAGAAGTCGGATGAGCGCGAACGACGCATCCATATTGCAGACGCATTGAAAATAGAGGCCTGGCCCATATTTGAAAATACTGGATTTTTTTTGTACCGTGCACGCTGCTTGGAAAAAAAAAAAAAATCGGATACGTGTGATGTCACATATAAGCAAAAAAAAAAAAAAATCCAAATTGACCCGCAGTGCGACTGGAGCCGAACACTAATTTCACTCAATCAAATACACCACATTTTGTCACTTTTCCAAAATAAGCAGACTCTAAAAAATTCAGCAGGGGATCAAAGGAAAATGTTTCTCATCCATTTGAGTTTCCTGACGCAGCCATTACAAAGAACAAAACAATTTGAGAGGTCCTTATGCTGCTCAATACCATCTGTTCAATTGGCCGCAACCTCAGAGATATTACACACCATGCAGTGAAGATGTCGCCCCCCCCCCCCCCCCCCCCCCCCCCCCCGTTTCTGCAGGGAAGCATTAAAAAAAACAAAAAACAAAGCGTTCGCTTTGGGCGGCGTGCGGCTACCCGCTTGACTCAGTCGGGTTAAAGCACTTTGCGGCACTGCATGAAGCGCATCCTCGGCGGAGCGGCAGCGACGGTGTAATAATTGAACCTTATTTTCAGCCTTCAAACATGTGCCCTTGACACTCATGCTTACGACCTGTCACCGACGCTTTGCCTCTTCCTCCTCCTGGTTCGGATGTTTCCTAAACCCGTCAAAGCTGTGAGCCTTAAATCCACTTGCCATCCTTTACTCGGCTTGAGTTGACTCCGTTCCTCGCTTCTTCGGCTCTCAACTAATCGTATCCTCTAATACGGCCACTGTGGTGTAGACTTTTAACTCGTCATTTTTATGGTGAAATGAACAAATGAGCCGTCGCTGAAGGGAGCGGGGAAGAAGATGCGCGAGTAAATGTCAGCAAGTACACGGGTGCACTAATGAGGACATTGAGCGTAAACAGTTTGTGTCAAAGAGGAGTGAAGGATGATACACAGTGGAGCTTGAAACAATCTTCAGGCTGACTATAATTGTTTCACGTTTGAGTGTGAAACGGTAAAATGCTCGCCCTGACCTTAACCAAACGGCTATTCTATAATTTTCTCAAAAATTAGCATTATGGATGGATGTCGCTAGCAGGCGTGTTTTCGCAGAACGCGATCTACTTCCTGCTTTGGTCTAGGAATCATGGGAAATGTAGTCCTGGTTTAATGCTGTGGTCGCCGGTTTGACCCAACATAAACTGAGCTTTTCTGGTGGCATATTTCCAATGTTACAATGTGGGGTCGGAACCGGCGCCAGGTAGATGACGGAGCCAGCCCCCAATAGCCACTCATTGGAAATAATCAGTTACCGGTCATGAAAAACAGTAACTAAGGCAGTGACTGAGCGTGCCATCTTGTGCTGTGATGACTCTCTTGTGAGGACTCTTTAGTTCACAGCGCGCATTTCATAACCTCTAAATTTCCTATGTCGGGAATTCTGGTAAACTGCGGATCCCATGTAGAGCCATAACCACTGCGCCTTTTCGCTACAGTTGCAGTTACAGAGGCTTTCTAGTACTTTCCATGGGTCAGGAGCCATCTGTTCAGCAGATACCAGGTCATATTTTACACCATAACATTTCACTACGTCTGCTCCACAGAGGTCAACGCCATTCAACCTGGTCCATTTTTTTTTTTTTTTTTTGCACAGTCGGCCAATGGAGGTGGGAGAGGTCATTATATTAGTGCTGCGTCGTCACTTCTGAACCAAACTGCAACACTGCCCTCATACAGTTTACTGGGATTAATTTCTGGCTGCGTGAAGGCTATCTCATTAGGAAGGAAGGAAGAGGACGACTAGATGGCAGAAAACCAATATTCTACAAGTGACGCCGAGAGAGCGAGAGAGAGCGAGCGAGAGCGAGAGCGAGAGAGAGAGAGAGAGAGAGAGAGAGAGAGAGCGCTGTGTTTAGAGACACAAAGCACACAGAGCAGCGACCGGTCTCAGCTGCGGCTCCGTTGAGGCAAAAAAGGCAGCATTGTGAAACAAGCTTGCGACTCCCTCTCTGTGTGTGTGTGCGTGTGTGCGTGCTAGAGCATGAGAGAGCATGAGAGGGCGAGACAAAAAAAGGGGGCCGAATGAGGCCAACAGCAGTGGGTAAGCGGCAAGCATTTCGGAGAGCATTAACAACCAATTCATTGTGGGTTAATTGAGCCGCCGTGCAAGTGATTAAGAAGAGCAGCGTACATGTGGCTCTGACATCATTGGCAGGCAACAACTGGAGGGCAGACAGAGGGAGAGTAAAACAGACTCGGGTACACAATTCAGGAACACTTGCAGAAACGCTTCATCCAATCAGAGCAGTTCCTCAGTTGTGGTAAGTATGCAGGATTTTTAATCAGGAAAAGTAGCTGTGATGTGCTGTCTTGAGTTTTGGGGGATCAGGCTTTTCACTTTGAATCACTGGTGCGGCACGAGCAAAGACACACGCACAGTCTTCTGGCACTCTTTCAGTAGGTTCAGACTCACCAGTTTTTGGAAAAGATCCCCGACTCTCTGGTGGTGGCCCCATTGCTGGACGCGGGGCAGGAGTCCATCGTAGAACTCCTTGTGGATCTCGTAGAGCTCAGGCACTTTGAAGAAGATGGTCTCGATCTGGGACACGGAGAGCACGGGCTGCGACGTTGTGGCCGCCGCTTTCAAAGGCTTCATGGGCTGAAAGGGAGGGAAGCAAAAGAGCTGTGAAAATATGACCAACATCTGTTAGCAAACCGAATCATAAATAAACACCCAATCTGCAACCCGAGACTTAAGGAAATCGAGGTAATGTTGGTTTGCGGGAAATGGGGAAACTCGCATTACATTGTGGGATATGGCGGCCATTTTCCAGCGAGCTGTATCCGTGGAGAATGTGAACAAAGCGGAGTAGTCACGCACCGAGGAAGCCGGGAAATGGGATTTATTTCGAGCATGAAGCTTTTGCTATCACAAACGGCAGAGAGTTCTCGTATCCGCAGTGGACACTCGATGGCAGGGGCTTGGGAGTGCTAGCTAGCCGTCGCCGGTTTATATCAAAAATGGTTTTTATTATTTGAGTTTTCCATTGACTTTTGACAATTGGTTTTCAAGCACAACAAGTTTCATGAACCCGGCTCAAAAAAGGTGTAAAATAACTCCAGACTACAGCAGACGAGATGAGTCACTGATCTACCAGACTGCTAAATAGAGAAAACGAGTCGTACATGTGTGCGCGCGCACTCACCAGTAGCAGTGCCTCCAGGTGACTGAGGTATGTTTCTTCACTGGCCAAAATCCCAGACAGAACCCACTTCCTCATTTCCAAACCTTTCTCCACGTCACATTCCGCCTGCAACAAACAAAGCGCATTAAAATGAATTCCTAGTTTTTGTTGTTTGTTTGTTTTTTGGGGGGGAAATGGGGCAAAACATGTGGGATTAATGCTGTTCAATAAATAACAGCTCGACATAATAAGAAGGTCTAGGCTTTCTTCGAGAAATCCTTTATCGGACTCCCCCGCCGTAGGGCCGGTCAAAGCTCGCCGAGGAGAACGATCGTGAAAGAAAACAGACAGACAGACTGCGAGATTCCTCGGGCTGCCTTGCACTTTGAAATAACTCAAGCAGGCAGGGTGTCCCAGAGGTGGAGGAAGCATCGTAGAAATACCTGTGTGTGTGTGTGACTGAATGAGAGAGAGTATACACACAAAACTGCGGGTGGAAGCATCCCGTCCTTTAGGCTACGAGAAGAGGAAAGAGAGGATGAAAGACAAGGAGACAGAGACTAGGGCACACACAAGAATAAAGAGCAGACATAAACAAAGACCCCGGCATGAATTTGTCTCTTCGGTTGGGACTGAGAAAGAGAGACGGTACACAAGTGGAGAAAGAGGAGTGACAACTGAACTTTTAAGTCCACCGTCGGGATTTACTGTTTGCATTGTAATCTGGAATACACTCGAAGTTACTCAGGGATATCGCTAACGTTGCTGTCACATCCACCACCGAAGGCACAGGTGTCAAAGTCAAGGCCCGGGGGCCAGATCTGGCCAGCCATATCATTTTTATGTGGCCCGCGAAAGCAAATCAAGCATGTCAAGTTCCATGATGCTTGCTTAAAGTCTGAACCAAAATTTCAAATTGTCACATGTAATCCACAATAACAGTCATTATTCTTGACTTCTGATTTTAAAACGAGTTATCCATCCATTTGTTGTGCGCTGCGTATGTAATATGTGAAGGTGATTAAACATTTATATGGTTTCCCAAAATTCATAACGGCCCTCCAAGGGAAACCGTAACTACAATGTGGCCCACGACAAAAATGAGTTTGACACCCCTGGCCTCAGGTGTGTGGTAGTGGGGAGAAAAAGGTCAACCACAAGTGCGCGAAACATGAAAAACTTCTGGAATTATGTCCTTAGTTCCCGTATTTTCCGCTCTATAAGGTGCACCTAAAAGCATTCAATTTTCCCAAAAGCTGACAGTGCGCCCTATAATCCGATGCGCCTTATATATGGTGTGACAGTCTCTTTATATTCCCCATTGCGTTGTTTCCCTGTTTGTGTTCCGATGCCATCCAGTTGCGATTATGAGCAGGAACCAATTGTAACCGAAAAGGGTTCTGACCGACGCAAATTGACATTTGCATTCAGCAACACACACTCAAACAGACTTTGCGAGCTCTGTGCAGCCATTATGAAATGAAGATAATCCCAAAACCAATACATTGTACCGTTATAATTTTGACACCTATGTTTATATTGTGATATGTGCCATTTACCGTGAATGAATTCAGTCAGTGCTAAGAATTGTAGGCCATAATAACTCAGAACGAAAAAAAGAGTACAATTTAGGGACACACACAATCATCGAAAGACTACGTGTCTCCCATGCAAGTACAAATATGATGTTTAAAAAAACAAAAATCAATTGATAACCTTTCATTTTGGCCAAACAGAAGCCTGAGCGTCGTCGTATTTAAATGCGCATTCAGCGGCTCCAGCTCAGGAGGCGCACTTGGAAACTGACCAGCATCGATTGTAAAAACATTATTAGCGACCTCGGCCTCCGTTTGCCACAGAGTGCAGGAGAACGTCGGCTCCGATAAACACTCAGATTGCAATCCATGCCCCGTTATGCACTTTATTAACCGTTCAAAATTTCTATTTCACCTCGTCTAAGCCGTTTAAGCATCCCTTTTCTGACAAGCATTGCTTGGCGAAATCCCTAACGAGATTGCTCGCCATCTCTTGGCGTGTCTGCTCTGTAATGGAGCCGTCACAGAGCCATCCTCGGCTGTCGGGAAAATGGTGATATTTTCCTCAACGTGGCATTACTTCCGCTTATTTAATTTCATCTGGATGTCGGAAAAGGCTGTTCAGGAGCAGATGTGTACAACGACGCCGCTGAACAGAATGATGAGGGGAATTCAAATTAGGCAGGAGAGATTGTACAGACTAGTCGACTCATCGACTAGCCATTTGTATAAACAGGTGAGTGCACTGAAGGGAAAACACACAGCTGTGTTGGTCCCAGAACAAGGATACCGTACGTTTCACTATTTGCATGTTACCTGGCTGTCCCTGCGTCAAGATATTTTTTTTTCCTCTGGCTGGGAAACACCATCACGCGACAGAAATAGAGCCTTCGTTCAGCCCATGTAGATGCCCTTGCATTGTAATGTGTACGTACTCCCTAAATTTGATGCATGAGCTCTGCAATGTTGGAGGATGGAGATTATTGCGGAGAATTCCCTCCCTCCTGTAATCTAAACAAAACATAGAGTACCATACAAAAAAAAAAAAAAATGTCGACGACATCAACCTCAGGGACTAGTCAAAACAGGCTCGATTTTCATCACGTTTGTGTCGATGTAAGAAAAATCTGAAGTCATGCATATCCTAATAGGCAGCTGAGATATATTTCTAATTGTGTGTGTGTGTGTGTGGGGGGGGGGGGCGCAATTCTTGAACAAAATGGTAAAGTTAAGACGGACCCATTGGGACTTAAATCGTTCATCCATCCCCCTATTATCCTGTTCAAGGTCAGAGGGAGAACTGAGTCTATCCCAGCAGGCCACACACGAAGCTATTTCTTAAAAGCGTATTTTCCTAGCCTGGGGGTTAAAAACAAAAGGCGCCCACAAACAACTGGGTTTTATTCACACACCCCCCCCCCCCCCCCAAAAAAAATGTCCACACGAAAACACATGTTCTACCTCAAATGCATTTTGGGCCAAAGAGAAGCCAAAAAAGCTGACATGATTCTACATTCTGAAGCCTCCATTCCTTATACATGATGTTTAAAATGAGCAGTGGTCTCAGGCTTTGCAGAAACTCAAAAACAAGCCAAAAAGTTCATTCAGTCTTCCCCGTCGACACACAGACATAGAAAACAAAAATCACCTTTAAAGGCCCCAGACATGTGAACCACTACAGCAACCGAGGACTTGATAAAAATACAAATAAAAATCAAAGTTCAGAAGCCAAACATGAAAGATGGCCATTTCTTATTGAAATTCGGGAAAAGAGACCACACGGCATCCATAGATCATCTGACCTTGGCCTTTCTCCCAGTCAGATTATGGTGGGGAAGGGGAGTCACAGTTTAAAAATAAAAAAAGTTCAGTTTCAGATGGTGATGACTCATCACAGCGACGTCATGAAGCCTCAACTCTATAATTAGCCAATCGCAGCTTGCGTGGGCTCTGACTCAGTTGGAAAAGCAGACTATTGGGAGAGGTGGGAGGTGGGGCCGTCTGTACAAGGGCAAACCAAGGACGTGTTAGCTCCACTCTCATGATATTGACTGAAAAGAATTTCAGGCTACTGTGGGAATTTCATCTGACGGATAATTGTCGATGTAGGCGAAACCCCTTTTAAAAAGTGTTACTCGGTGCATGGGCACACGTGAATAGAAACGACGCGAAACTTTGCTGAATTTGCGTCAATGTGCATTTCCTTCGCAAGCTTTTCATCAGATGTCACGGATGATTTTCACTCTTGGACAGAAAACAGAGACGACAATGAATTTGCCTATTGTCTGAAATGAGAACCAGGCCGCCTCTGAAAAAGGATGACTTGCATCATCTGCACATGACAGCTGCCGAGGCTGCGAGTCAGAAAGCGATCCTCCCAAATGGCAGAATTTGATTCCTTGTCAATTGACTAGCGTTTTGATGAGACCGGATTCCTGTAAAAAAAAAAAAAATAGAACGGCCGACCACTCTCAATGTATTGAGGTCGAAGGAAGCATTGGTGTACAAATATTGCGTGGATAGACAACAAATTACAACCCGATCAAATGAGATTTAATATCACCTGTACAACGTTTTAATTGTCATTTTCAATGTGAATGGAATATTTCTTCCAAATATCCAAACTGGGTCAGGCGTTTGGATGAAAGCGAGTGAAATAAACAAACGGATGGATACATTCTGGTCCATGGCAACGCTGAGTTCATAAAAAAACGGGAAAAGGAGAAATGACAACACTGACCGACTTTGCGGACTCCAGCGATCCCGAGGAGAGGGTGTCCCGACTGCTTCGACTCTTGGAGCTCAAGTGAGGTGAGGAAGAAGGCGAGTCGTCGATGTACGGCAGGATGTCGTGGTGCCGCCGCTGCTCCTCGGCCCGGGCCGCGAAAACAAAAGTGAAGCTTTTTTTGTTTTTCCTCTTCTCTTGCCTTAAATCTTTTTACTACGGCCGAAGATATTTTTTCGGATCTGTTGATAGGTTATCTGTCTTTTTGTTCAATAAACAAACCAACAACGTGTGCACAAATTTTATTCAATATAAAAATGGATATCGATTGCTGATTATGTATTTCCCAACTTTTATTTTGCGACCCCCCTAAGATAGCCTTGGTCATCTCATGCCCCCCGGGTCTGCCACTACGCAAAACCCAGCTGGTCCAGTGTTCAAATACGTTGCGTCAGAAACCAATTCTAAAGAAAAAAACTGCGCCAAACAAATGAAGCATGTGACACGCTGTGGGGAACCGTGATGGGAGGAGTCCAAAGTCACAATCGTCAATCATCACAATGGAAAGTTCCCCCACGCCCACATAATCAAAAACGGTGCCATTTCTTCACTCTTTATGAACCAGGTAGTCACCAGCTAACATACAGAATGACAGACGAACTTTTTATTTAATTTATTTAATTAAAGCCTTGAGAGCAGAACTTGTAAAGGTGGGTCAAGGTAATTTGAATAACCTCAATCTTGAACCAGTGCAAAGTGTCTCTCATTATATGCACCAAAGGCAATTGAGCTGGATATAAAACAAAACTACAACCTCGACACCGCGTTGGTGTGTCACAACGATCCTCGCTGGAGCCCAATGTTGTGGCTTGGTGCGCTGCCACGCGCGGCGCACACACAAAAGTTTGGGGGCGTGTTAAAATACTTCAAACCAAAAAAATATGTTAAAGCCTTGAGAGCAGAACTTGTAAAGGTGGGTCAAGGTAATTCGAATAACCTCAATCTTGAACCGGTGCAAAGTGTCTCTCATCATATGCACCAAAGGCAATTGAGCTGGATACAAAACAAAACTACAACCTCTACACCGCGTTGGTGTGTCACAACGATCCTCGCTGGAGCCCAATGTTGTGGCTTGGTGCGCTGCCACGCGCGGCGCACACACAAAAGTTTGGGGGCGTGTTAAAATACTTCCAGGGAGGCGAGAGTCAGCAGTTCTGGGAATGCGGCGTAGCAGCTGAAGGGAAGACTTCAAGCATCCTTGAGAGAGTCACCAAGGATATTTTGCTTACCGCCTCCTACTACTCTTGCTTTCAACAAAAGCTGGCCTGGCCTCCCGTGTGCTGACTAATCACAGAAAAACTATGCAGATAAGGGCGAGAACTAAAGCGCTAAGTGGTGCGCAGACCTTCAACAAGCTCGGGAAATCCGAAATTGGATTAGGATCTTAAGAGTTACTCTTCGCTGATGAAATCAAGGCAAACAGAAAATTCCCTCTCAACCAATCTTAATAACAGCCCGCAATTTTTTACGCATGAGTCAGAACAAGCTGGAGTCTATCACAAACCTATGCTATCTGGAGCAGTGAGTATTTTATGAAAAACACTTCTGGGTCATACTAATCAAATTAAAAACAGCAAATAAGGTGCGAACTGAGCTTTAGTGAACGGATTCTTGCTTTGCGCGCATTTGTGACCTCGAAAGCTCGTAAGTGCGTGCAGTGGGTAGTGTTGCAGTGTTGTTTGAATAGCCTTGTTGGTGTTTGTGACATTCTGGCATTTCTGTTTGACTGTGAGCTACGCCGAGACAAAACACTGAACACATCGTGGACGTCCTCACAAAAGCACAAACCCAAGAGTTAAAAAAAAAAAAAAACCCGGCTGCTTGGTTTTCAAAAATTTTACGGATGACAAACACTGACAATCGAAGGGCCAAAACAACACAGGGTTTTTTTCCGTCTTGTGTCCCTGAATAAACCACTAAAGGGGTGTAGACACAAGAGTCATCGGGATGCAAGGGTTAAGAGCCGCCAACACAGTTTGGCGGAAGGGCAACTCCACCTCCTCATTGTTGGGTACCCAAAAGAGACACAAAATTAACGTGTGTGTGTGTGTGTGTGTGTGTGTGTGTGTGTGTGTGTGTGTGTGTGTGTGTGTGTGTCCAGGGGACATGTGACCTTCAGCTCACCCACCGTTTGGGCCGGATCCTGGCGACTGGTTGTGGGTGGCGGCTGCCCACCGGGTCCGCCATGCAGGACCAACATAGATGCCTTGGGTAAGTGTGTGTGTGTGTGTGTGTGTGTGTGTGTGTGTGTGTGTGTGTGTGGTGCGCCTCTGTCTGCAAAATCAAACCTTGAACCAAAATGAACAGACTCGTCCTGCTTATTGTGAATTACTTTTTGCCCTTGTTGTGCTGGTGTACCGTTATTTATATGCACGCAGGTATGACCATGACTTCTAACGACTGGAGTCATCATGGTTTTTAGAATGAACCAGTGGGATATAGAAAACATGAACGTTGGTCTGGAAATATCAGCCCATCGCTGCTTCTCCAAAATAGCCGCACAACCTCATATTCCATCCACCTAGCTTTGGAAAAATGTAGTCATGGGATACACTGAGGCTGTGTGTGTGTTTTTTGTGTGTGGAATGCCTTTTAGTGCCCGCAGGCCAAAAACAGAGCATCCACACAACTTTTTTTCTTTGTTTGTTTTGTTTTTTTGGTTTAAGCCAGTGACCACCTCTTGGTTTGAAAGCAGCGCAGACTCAGAGCTGAAACCACATAATGAATAATAATGCTCGAGTGACGATTAAATATGGAAAGAAAGAGTGACAAATGAATCACGGCAGTGTTGACGAAATGTTGTGCGTCAGAGGAGTATTTACGCGCTTCACCGGGGAAACGGCAAAAAGCTAAACAACTTTGGGCTTTTTGTCTGTCGTGACACAATGCCACCCGTCTGTTTCTTTTTCGAAACAAATGAACAAATTCCACTTACTTTGCCTCTCTATTGGTGTGTATAGGTTAATATCATTGTCCAATGAAAAGCAGGTAAATCAAACCCCGCCCCCTCCAATTATTAATATAAACAGTTTCAGTTACAAGGAAAAACAATTGTGGGGAAAAACGTGTTTCTGGAAAGAAAAAAAAATGAGGTAAAAATGTTTTCATTGGACAGGTATGACGCTACATGCATACAACTGCATCGAAAACCATGAACCCAATAGCAATCATATTTAGCTTTAAAAACACATTTTGTTGTTTTTATTCAGAAATCAATTTATATTTTTGTTTTTGGGGGCGGGGAGGATCGATTTTTTAAAAATTAATATGAAAAGAAATGCCTTTTCCTCAAAGTAAACAGAAAAATGGAATTTATTATTTTTAATAATTAAAAAAAAGGAAATTAATGCTTTTCTAAGACATGGATGACACTGCATACACTCACACTCAACCATGAAAAAAAAACGTTTTTCTTCATTTCCAATTTTTTAAATAGAAAAAAAAGTAATACAATATATTTGCTACTTGTGTCGAAAATTCTGAAAAAAAAGTCCAGATCTACATGACATCAAGGAACGGAATTTTCTTTTTTTTTTTTTCTGAGATAGAAGGCATCAAAGTTAGGCGAGACAAAATTTGGAGACACGTGCTTTTCCTTGGACGGCAACCAAAAACTACAAGACAAATGTGGGTGTGTGCAATGAGAAGGCAATTGCACATGTATTTTTCATAACACCAGCTGGCTGTTTCCTGCTACTAGCGCCAAATCTTGGAGGGAGTAAGCTACTATCTTTATGTTCATGTAGCCAGATGACTTTGTTCTGAGTAGCTGTGTTTGTTACCTGCAATGTGCAGAAATTGTCAGAGTGTAAACTGGAATTTCCAATGACACTAGTCTTCAGTCTGACCTTCTTTTGTCCTAAAGCTTCTTCTATTCCCGACTTGGGTCAAGCATTCATCTCCTACGCTGCATGTCTGCATGCTTAAGCATCCATGTATACAGTATCTGTTTTTTGTTTGTTTTTTTTTGATCCAACGTGTTCATTTTTTTTTCCTTACTCGGAAACCGCCCGTGTATCCTCTGATGTTGCGGCATATACAGCTGGCATCCTCATGCTCCTCGCAGCACATTATCTTCCTTACATTCCCCTCCTCCCATGCCTCACGTCTCCCGGAACCACACGTCCTCCCCCCCTTTACAAATGTAACAGAAAAGCCTAGAGAGCAAGGAAAACACACGGAGGTTCCCAACAGAGATGGCATGAAAGACCGCCAAGGCATCGATTGCTTCCGAGAAGTACGAGCCAAATTCTGCGTTGAAGCACAAAAATAAGAACTGTGTACCGATGTACACACCCACATTCAATGTTTACATGGTAACAAGCACTGGGGAGGGCAAACGGGCCTTTTTTTTTCCCCTGCTGCAGGTGGAAAAAAACAATCACACTGGGAATAGGTGGAGTATGACTGTCATGTCAATATTTTTTTTTTCAAAAACAACCCGCCTATGGTTCCAAAGATACGATGCCCTGCATCATTGCTGTGTAGCTAGTTGGTCACAGATCCACCTTAAGCAAGAAATAAATCTTGATACTAGGAAAACCAAATTCTGCTGCCCGCAATCTTTTTTTTTTTGGTATTTGCATTTTCTCAATGACACCATTAATATCTGCTCATAACTTGCATAGTAGCCACAGCTAGTTGCTAATGGTTAGCCTCGAATTATGCATGTCAAGACCTACCTTGGTTGTTCTCTTAAAATGCTACAAAAAGTACAATAAATAAAAAACACCCTTTTGTTATGGAACATACTAGAAGCGTAACTAACGTGTTTTCTTTGTTCCAATGAACAATCTGTTAAATCGCGAGTCGACTTTCTGTTTCCCTCTGTACTCAATCCGTGATTACTAATTTGAAAAGAAAATGGAAAATGTCTGCATCAAGATGGCCAGAAATTAGCTTTTCATTGGTTTTGAAGATTAATAACGTTCTGTATTTTTTTTTCAGTAAAATGATAAAATATAAAAATAAAGCTAATGGCTAGTCTCGTATTAGCTATCATAGCTGCAGCTAGCTATCCCTTAAAAGTGGTGCTAATAATATATTTATAAATGTACCTACAGTGTAAATACAGTGTGATGCGTCTTGAATAAAGTTAAATTTGAGCTAGTGACATATTTCTGCGATTCCATGATTATCTCG